ACAGGATTTGGCTCTTAAGTCCTACATGGACACGAACCTGCCGCACATTTTTCAATCGTTAATTTTAATACTGCCTATTGGTCCCCTTGGAAATAATAAACATTTAAACTGTGCCAAATCAGTCCCATTATGTCCTAACAAATTGCTCGGCCATCCTTTCATTTGGTTTTTGATACCTAGGTTTCCTTTATCAAAACTGATGATGATTTTGTCACTGATGATTGCAGGACCACTTCCAGATCCCGACATCCTGGCATCAGGAGGAAAATTACCCCAGCTGGAGTCCCAACCACTTATGGCTCTTGTCCTAGATGGTCTTTCAAATTTGGAGCTGGTTCCATCCAAATTTGGGCCTGCGCCAATGTCTTATCAGTGCCCACCTGAGAAGTCCTCTGGTAGCATCGTTCTGCACCACATGGCTCCAGACTTCCCTTCTCTTCCTCTGATGCTGCAGCGTCTTCCGAGTTTGTGTTTTGTGCCCACACTTGGTCAACTTTTGCATCTTCAGTCTCTGCAAGTGTCACTGGAAATATCTTATGAAACAGAGTCCAGAACAAGAGCGCAGTCCAGATGTTCTGCATGGGTACACCTTTGACAACCAAGACTTACTGTTCGCCGTTTCCGTGATGCTTCGGTGAAGCGTGAAAAAGGTCTATGGATGGTATTTGACTCCCGCGAGTGACGATACGCTGTGCTGTTAGCTGTCAGTCGCTGTCTCTCACAAGCTGCACTTGCGTCACTATAACTGGTCAGAAACACCACTTTTCTTGCAGCCCTGGTGGAAATCGACTGAAGACTGGATTTGGTCAGTGCTCTGCTTAATCGTCCAAGAAATTACTCAACAAAGAGTATTTGGTAAAAAAATGGTTGATGGTACTAACCAATCAACTATTTTATATTTAACCCTTTCATGCATGAATTATGAACCTTTATGTCAGGACTTTTTTTTTTCAAAGTGTTTTTGAGTTTTTAAGGGATAAAAAAAAATTCCAGATTTTTTTTTTTTTCAAGGTGATCAGTTGTAATTTTCTCCAAAAACAAAGTTTTTATTCTGAAAATACACCAACGGTATTGGTCTTTAGGGGTTACTTGATGCCGCACAATACCTTTCTTTTGTTTACCCACAAGTCCTCTATCATAGAAGGAGGGACTGTGTCGGTCGTCATGCTTTTTCATCTGCCAAATATTTGGATTTAACAAATGCTTTCTTGCAGTCCCAGTCGATGGTGATTAGTTGACAGTGTATTGCACGATGCACCAGCTTCCACTTTAGTGGTCTATAACATAAAATCCACAAGAAAATGGCCACTATACATGAAAGGGTTAAAAATGACATCATAAGAAGGACCAAAATATAAAGTTATGTTGACATTTTGGTATTTAAAGACCAACATAAAAATTATTCCTAAGAGCACATTTTGTTTTCCAAAAGGCTGCTGAGGTCAACGCTGTTACTTTGAGGTGATTCAAGAAGGTTGAATACCCTTTTGCCCGAACATGGGAGCTAACTACTGCGTTCAAAGTGACATGCGCTCAGTCTTTATGAGATTTGCTGTGGCAAAGCATTAAAGTCTTCCCTCTTTATCCGTGCTTTGGAGCTGCATGTGTCACATTAAGCCGAGCAAAGGAAGGGCAGATGGCGAGGACTCCCTCTGCTTCCTGAAGTCTGCTGTGGGGGGTCAGGGGGGAGCCACTCATCTTCCCCTGGGGAGAGGAAAACGCAGAGGGAGTCGTTTCAATTAGCCAGATACAGGAGCAACAAAATGCCCAACGTGCTCCCCACTGCACTTCAACCCCGGCCAGAGACGGCTAATCAAATCAAGACAGCAACGTCTGCACACAAGAGCTACAGGAGGAAGCTAGTTCAGGAGGGAGGCGGTGTGGGGGGGGCTGTAAGCTGTGGAATAGGTCAGGATGTCGCGTTTGCTCCGGCGGTTATGCGTTTAGGGAGTAGGGAGAGACAGAGAGGAGGAAGAGAGAAGTTGTAGAAGCGAAATCGCGACTGAAAATCTCTTGCGCAGTATCACATTTAATATCACGTCAGCCCTGAAAATTATAGTAACCTGATCAGCCAAATGTCTGCTGCAGGGATTTGTGATTTTTCTTCTTCTTTCTTTCTCTCTTTTGCTCGCTCTCTTTTTTCTTTTTTGGAGATCATAGTCTCTTGGTCGCTTTGTTGTTCACAGGTGCTTTTTCTGATGTGACTTCAAAGCTCTGTGCTGTCTGAGCGTGGAGGCGGGTGGAGAGGCGTTCTGGGCCTGACCGGCCGTACTTCCTTGTCCCTTTTCATGTGCAGAGTCATTTCTCTCTCTGACAAGCCGTTTGGTACAGAAGCTGGGGCCCCCGAGCACTAATTAGGGGTCATGGTGTCACGGCCCTCCCCTTTGACATCACACAGGTGGGCAGAGGATGCTCCAAGTGCCTTGCAAAAGTATTTACACCTGTACGGCTTTGGCATGATTTGCTGAATTGTTGCCACAAACTTCAATGTATTTTTGAGATAGACTAATATCATGAAGCCTGTTTATTTGTTGTTGGATAACAGAGACTATAAAGAGTTTATGGGGTGTACATTGGAAAGGAGTTGGTAATTATGCTGATGTTGTATGTCCGGTTGTTATTTATTAGTAGTAGTATGGGTCTGTAGATTTTCTTGGGAGTCAGCTTGTGATCATTTTGTTTATGTAATATCATTTATTTGTTGGTTTCTTTAGCACAGTAAGTTGAACAGGCATACAAATACTATAACGTGGTTTTTAATTACATATTTTTGACAGTTATTGAGTCATTAAATTGAGATAAGGAGTAGGATTACATAAGTGATCACTTCTTCCATTTCAAACAGAAACGTAGCGATAAGTTAGTTATCGCTGGTTATAGATGCCCATGTTTTCTCTTGTCCTACTGGTTACTTGAAAAAAAAACTGTTTGAAATGAGTAGATAAATGAAATGAAGTGAAATTATTGTGAGGCAGATGAAAAATGACAATTTTTCAACAAGGAACAACAGGGAACGGAGGTTGAGGTGCCAGAGATACCATCATGGGAGGACAAACCCCTACATGGGATGTACCACCAGCAAATAACCCAAGTGGCTGATATCAGTAAAATCCTACCAATGGCTGAAAAGCTGGACTCAAGGACAGCACAGAGGCCCTCATCCTGGCCGCCCAGGAACAGGCCCTAAACACCAGAGCAATAGAGGCCCAGATCTACCCACCAGACAAGACCCAAGGTGTAGGTTGTGCAAGGAGGCCCCTGAGACAGTCCAGCATATCACAGCAGGGTGCAAGATACTGGCAGGGAAAGCGTACATGGAGCGACATAACCAAGTGGCAGCATAGTGTACAGAACATCTGTGCAGAATATGGACTGGAAACCCCGAGATCAAAGTGGAACACCCCCAAAAGTGGTGGAGAACGCCAGAGCTAAGATCCTGTGGGACTTCCAGATCCAGACAGACAGAATGGTAATGGCGAACCAACCAGACATTGTCGTAGTGGATAAACAACAGAGGAAAGCTGTTGTGGTAGATGTAGCAATACCAAGTGATTGCAACATCAGGAAAAAGGAGCACGAGAAACTGGAGAAATACCAGGGCCTCAGGAAGAACTGGAGAGGGCCTGGAAGGTGAAGACCACAGGTGCTGCCTGTGGTCATCGGGGCCCTCGGGGCAGTAACCCCCAAACTGGAGCAGTGGCTACAACAGATCCCAGGAACAACATCAGACATCTCAGTCCAGAAATGTGCAGTCCTTGACACAGCCAAGATACTGTGCAAGATCCTCAAGCTCCCAGGCCTCTGGTAGAGGACCCGAGCTCAGAGGATAAGAACCACCCGCGGTGGGTGAGAAGGGATTTTTAATTTTTTTTAATATATATTCACTAATGTACAGACCCATTCGGCATTCACAAAAGAACTTCTAAATTACAAAAAAAAAACACTCTTGTGAATTGAATTTACTGCTTAGCTAACCATCAGCTTTTTAATACGGGTGTTATGGCTTTTGGCTCAGGGCGGCAAAAGGGAGTGGGGTCCCTGAGGCAAAGAAGCAATAATTAGAATGCGTTCACAGTAAAAGTACTGTAAGAAGTCGTTGGTGTCTTCAGTGGGTGGCTAAAGCTCTTGAAGTTGGTATCTGAAATGAATGAAACACATGAATGGTTTCACTATGGTTTCACTCATCAGAATGTAATGTTTGTTCAGCTGTGGACTGCATGGTGTTTTGTGTATAGCTGTGTAATTTTGCGTATTTTTATTCTTCTTCTGTGAAGCACCTTTCTGCTGAAATGTGCTATAAAATAACTGGATTGACTGATCTGAAGTGTAGGACTCAACATCACTAGCAGTCATTTAATTAACTAAACACTAATATGTTGGGAGAAAAGGGGCTCAACTCAGTTCAGTCACCTTTTCCATTTTAAAGAACTCTCAGAATGATTCAGTCGAGTTGTTAAATGATTCAGTTTTATTATTATTCTATAAGTAATGCGTGTTTATAACCCCTGTGTCGCTCTGTCTGGTGAAAGGCAGACAGCCAGCGGACTCATTTGGCTCCATGGCGTAAAAATAAAGCGTCCTACATTTTTAAAACCGTTCTCGGAGCTCTGTTAATACACGCAGTCATCGCTGTCACCGCTTCTTCCCGACCAACACTTCCAAATTTACTGCAGCGGGGCTCCAGCCCTGCACAGTTGGGAGGAACGGAATGAGAGGCAGCCGTGGGAGATACCAAGTCGGGATGCTCTCAGAGGGGGGAGTCCCGCCGAAACAGAGGCGATATTCGACGTTTGGGATGTAAGTTAGATTCTAACTACACTACTGAAGATATTTTTAGTTCATTAGGAGCTTCGGGTGATGTAAGATGTAGCTGCAATGTTAGCTCGAAGCGAACAGAGAGCGTCCATCTTCCCCCCGGCTCCCCCCTTTCTTCCCGCTCCCTCTCACCGCACATGTATTCCTATGCAGGGCGGCTGGCCGGGACACAGCGGCTACAGCGGAGGCGGAGGAACCGCGACGCTTTCCCCCCCGAACTGCCAGCAGACTTTTTCAAACTGGGATTTCACCCCGTTTTTCGCTTTCAAGAGAAAGGGTTTGGATATACCATTTTGAGAGGAATAACCCGTCTTTGCCGTGTAAAGGTGGGTTTTGTCTGGCTTTCTTCAGACTTTTAAGCGTTTATCCGTCTTTATGAGTTCAGACTTTAACTGCCGCAGCAGACTTTTTCTTTTTCTTGCTTTTGACGCCCTGCTATCCTCTGTGCGTTTTAAAGTTACTAAACGCACTCTCTCAGAATACTAACCATATTCACTTCAGATATACTTAAGCTTATTAAACATGCCGTGGGCATTTTTTCTGTCAGTTTTATCATTTCTATCCGATGACAAAACCTTCCCTTCCAGAAGGAGGCTTCACCTCTGGTGACATCACTTAAGGCAGTTTTGGCTATACCCATTGATTTTTTTTTTTTCTTATTGGCTCTTCCAGTCCACACAAGAGGAAAGCAAAGCAAGCGAAAAATAAAACACGTATGAGCTCCGACAGTATGCCATGACACAGTAGATAGTGCAAAAAAAATATTTTAAGATGATCAAAACCCCCCCCCAAAAAAACAAATCCATCTAATTTTAGTGGAATTAATTAATTTCATTCATTCTCGTTTTCATCAGGGCTTGGGTTGGTCATTGGTGGGGCTCTGACCGAGAATGTTGAATGTCTTGCAGCTCAAAAGTTTCCTGAATCTGCCCTTAAAAATGTGACAAAACTCACTCGCCTGCCACAGTGTTTACTAATTCAGTTCCTGTGCCTCCTGTGATGTCATCGACCCCAATACAAGACAGACACAGCAGAATCAGTCTTTTTTTCTTTCTTTCCCATACAGTATTTTTAAATAAACTTTGCATTTGGAAAAACTCTACAGTAGAAGCCGGGACTTTGTTTATTGTCAGCAGACAGAAAACATGGAAGTGGATGGCATCTTTAATATTGTCTGCTAATTTGGACGTTACAAGATTTGGTGAGGAAAAATCCAGACATTTTTTTGTTGTTGCTTACTGGCAGCGATGCTGGTTGGATATGTTGTTGTCCACTCACTTTGAACGTAATGTTTCAATGTTATGGGACGGAGCATCCAAAGTAGGTTGACTGGTCCAAAATATTTGCTTTAGCTCAAGCTTCCACTCTTCTGGAATTAAAGTTATCCATAAAACAACTCAGCATCCTCCGTAGGGTGTGAATATGTCACTTAGTTAGTCCCTTGATCCATCTTTATTATACAGTGAAGGGAAGTTGTCTCATAGGGGTTTACACATGTGTAATTACACACACTCAGATGTAGTTTTCAGAGCTCAGAAAGAATGAAGACGTTAGCTTCGTGTAGTTATTATGATCCAACAAACTCTAGTTTGTTAGTTTTAGTGGTAATTAGATTTCTTCACTCGGGATTGTTAAAAATGCCCCCCTCCCCACCCCACACACACACACACACACACACACACCCTCCACTTCTGTTTAATATTAGACCAGAAAGCAGTGCAGAGCAAACAGGCTTGTTTTCTCCTTCTTGGTCTGCAGTTTATTTAAAGCTGTAAACACGGTTCGGGTTCATCAAGTCTGGTATGCATTGTTTCGAGTTAGACATCAGAGCGTGTGTTGGCTCGAGGCCTTTTACCACGACAGTCAAACTCGTATCCTCTGGCTGGTTGTTTTAGCTCACTTTGTCGTTTGCCAAGACACTGATGACACTAACACTATTACACAACGCACAAATGGCGTGTGAAAAAATAAATGCAACTGTTTGCCGTGTTTCTCAAACAGGTTTGTTATTATTTTTGGCTTGTACATTCATCGTTCAATCCGGGGATTCCCCCACTAGTTAGGTCTGGAAGCACATCCAGTTCGCTTTATGGGCAGGTTAATCACCCACTTTTGACCCGCTGACGTTCTACAAACGAGTCATCCAAGAGAGGGAAGAAAAAACAAGTTGCTCTCTCGGCTCCGTTCGTTTTTGTTTGATGAAAACGACTAATTTGGAAGGGAAGTGATGGAGCAGGTGTCGTCTGCGCAGGAAGAACCGGGCTTTAGCAGGAAACACTAAGGAAGTGTGTGTGAACAAAAAAAAACAAAAACTCCTGGTGTGCGTGGATGTGTGTGTCCTGAGTCATTCAGATGAGTCCGTTGGAATGTCAGTGGGATGGTCCATAATTACACAAGGCAGACCCTCTCTCTGCCATCCTCGTTAAAGTTCTCGGGAGTCTTTGCATCATCGTTTTTGCAACTTCTGGATGCGATCTCTGCTTTTCTGAATCGAATGTAACATTTGTAACATTACTTTGAACATTTTACCAGGGAATACAACATGTGCACCTGAAATACTAACAAGACAAAACATACAATGTCAGTGTCACGTTTTATCTTCTACACACAAACCAGAATTAGATGATGATTAGAATGTTGAGGCTGATCTGATTCCTCCGATTTAAAACTGAAAAATGACAACAATTCCTGCTGTTGCATAAATGTATAATTAAATATAATACTTTCTAAAAACTACATCTTATTTCCATTTATTTTGGTTCTGATCCCATTTCATTGGCTTGATGATCCTTGGTCTTGACCCTGAATAAAGCAGCAATTATCATAGTCGACTTCCTGTGGTTAGCTATGAGTCGTGTAATCGCGTTTCTTAAGTCGTTTAGACTTTGAGTAAATGATGGAAAATGGCTTTAAATCAGTGGACACAAAGCTGTCACGAATGTCTCGTGGTAGGCAACTTTGTTTCATCGACAGTAAGTCGGGTACCAAACAACCAAATCTTCAAAGTTACAGGCAGAAAGAGGAAATTATCAATACAAATTAGAAGAGGAGCATCCTAAATCGTCTAGATCGAAAAGAAGTACTTTTTGACTTTATCTCTTTGTGTTCCTTTAGCTTCATTGCTGGGAGATTAGATGAAGGACGGACTGTATTTGGAGTGTCAAGACAAACTGACCGATTAAATAAAAAACAAGAAAGAAGGCGACAGCTCCATTGGAAAGAACAAGATTACAGTTTGTACCAAAGTACGAGAAACACTATCTGTTATTATTCGACTGCTCGTCTTATCTTCCCCAGGTCTAGAGTGTGAGGGTTTCGGCACATTGTCTTGGTGTAAGCTATCTGGGCTCGGTCCTTTAGTATTCACACCTTGTAGGTCAGTAAGGTTTATGACCAAGGAATCATATAAACGCTCCATCCTTAATGTGTTTTGACTATCTTTACGGCCGCTTAGGCTCTGAGCGTGCAAACCTTGGAGCTGGATGTCCTTACGTTTACTGCAGAGATGCTAAACTGTGGCTCCTCGCATCACTGCCGCAGGTTTCACCAAGGAGACGAAGGGGGGAAATTGGGTCGGCTCTTCCTGCATTTGTCTTCTTCTGTCCTTGTTTTTTCCCGTCTTGCTTGTTGGGCAACTTGAAGTGTTTTCAAGGAAGTGGACCAAAGGGACTCAACCTGCAGGCGTTCTCTTGAGGATGTTATCAGCTAGTTTCACATGCTTCTCACTGCAGCTCATAGGGTTTCCTTCAGGATATTTTGTTTGCTTCAGCAGGATTGGTTGCAGGGTTATGTGTTCCTGAGAGACGCTTCCACATGTAGGTCAAACGCCGGACACCGAGTTGGCATTGCCTTTTACGTTTCTTTCTTCTTTTTTTTTTAGTCGGGGTAATCTACATATTCGATTCAACGCTGGATTATTTCAGATGTGCGTGGATGTCCTCCTTCCCAATTTTTACAACTGTTTCGCAAACTTCCTGTCACTCCTCAGGTGTGACGGCTTTGCAACAAAGGGAGACAAAAGCTGCCGACAGGAAACAGATTAGATCACCTGCTCCAACTGTGTTTTTTATCTGGCCGCAACAGAAAGTTTTCAACTAAATCTCAAAAAAAAAAAAAAAATAGAGACACTGTTTGGCTGAGGTTTGCTGTAATTGCTGCTCTTTTTTTTCCCTCCTTACCCCCGTGTTTGAGGGCGCTCGCACTATTTCTAGCATACGTAATGGCTGGGTTGATGTTTCTGTGGTGCGTTGCACTGCGACTGCTAGTTTTGTGAGGTTACTCATGCTGAGTCCAAGCCTGAATGCTGGGCGGGGAGGGAAGGGAGCGACTGCTGACTCTGTTCAAACATGTCTGGCAGCACTGGCAGCTTTAGGTATGCCTGTCTGCGTGTGTGTGTGTGTGTGTGTGTGTGTGTGTGTGTGTGTGTGTGTGTGTGTGTGTGTGTGTGTGTGTGTGTGTGTCTTAGTATTTGCTCTGAGCCACATGGATGCCAGATGCTGTACTTGTTAAGTCATTTTTCCGATGTGAGCTGAAGTCGGGACTTCTCGGAGAACTTGCTTCTTCAAACTTCAGGTACCTTTTATTCTCTGCTATAGAAGAAAAGCGTTTAGTTGTTGCGTATGTGGCCGTTTGTCCAAATGTCATTCAAAGTGCTGGAGATGTAAAGGCTGATTATCTTAAAGGGGAACTTTCCTTGCGCTCGTCTCAATCATTGCTTCGAAAAACAAGTTTTTAAAGCCGGATTTACCTCGGTGGTTGCAATTCAAGCGCGGTGACGGTGCTGAAGAGCAGTTATAACATGTGACTAACTTTGGTGGTTATTTTTTGCTGTTTCCTTATTTACATATTTCCACCTCACAAATGATGCCAATGATATTGAATGAGAGATGTTACATCGCCCAGCTGCTTGGAGGGTTTGTTTAGTTTTTGTTATAGTGGAAAACATGAACAATTCAAAATTGACAGGAAGTTTGAAGATATGACTAGATATTTATGCTGTTGTTGGACGACATTATTGACTTAAATACTTGAAAAAGACAAACAAAAAATACAGTTAAGATAAATATTAAATATTTTGCCCTAAAGTTAAGTAATCAACTGTTGGATCTTAAAACTAGCTATTTAATTCAAATCTAAAATAACTAACCTAAAATGAAACCAGGAAGAGTATTTCTATGCTTAACTAGATAAGCATAGAAAAATTCAACTATATATTGCATTACGTCCTTTTTTTGTTTCCCTGTTGATGGTGTTTCGATTTGCCAAGTGGTTGCTGGTTATCCAAGCCAGTATGTAGAAGGAATATTCTGATGAGACGTCTGACGGA